CACCGCCCGGCCACAGGATCCACATCAGCCGGCAGCTGGCGGTGGAACCCGAGGAGGCAGAGGCCGACCGTGAGCAGAAGCCCCGGCGGAAGCCGAAGCGGACCAGGAAGGAGGCCGAGGACGGCCCGAGCGCCACGGCCCCGCTGGGGGTCGCAGAGCCCAGTCCCGAAGCCCTGGGCGAGGTGCTCATGGTGGAGGTGGAGAACGTCGTCCATGAGGACTTCCAGGTCACGGAGGAGGTGAAGGTGCGTCTCCCAGGCCCCACAGAGAGGTGCCGGGATGCGCCCTCCTCCATGACGGCTGTTCTCAGGCTCCGGGCCCTGAGATGGGCCGCCGCATCGGCTTTTGTCCCCTTTGTCCTTGGTCCCTGTGCCCGGGGAGTCTGGGCTACCCTCCCCGTGTCCTGGGTCGTCCTTGGCCAGTTCCGCTGGGGCTGTGCCAGGCTCGGTGACGCCCCCGCCCCCCCAGGCCCTGACGGCTGAGATCGTGAAGACCATCCGGGACATCATCGCCTTGAACCCTCTGTACAGGTCAGTGTCCTGGTACAGCCGGCCTGGGCTCTGTGCCGGGTTGGGTTTTCCCCCGTAGGTGAGGGGCGGGGAGGCCTTGGCCGGCTGGCCAGCTCCTGCTGCGGCTGCTCTGTCTGTCTCGGCGTGAGGGCCTGCGTTCTCTGGAAAGCCCCAGCCACCGGCAGCCGGGGCGGGGGCTCTCCTGAAGCTCTGGCATCTGGGCAGGGGCTGTGTGTGGGCTGGGGTCTCTAACCAAGACAGCGGGCCCCGTCTGTCCAGGCCTCCGTGGGGCTCTGGCTGCAGGGTGGCCCCGCGCGTCCCTGGGGGAGAACGGAGGGCGAGGTGGCGGCCCTGGAGTGGCCGGCTGTGCAGCAGCGTCCCCGCCCGTCCCCCAGAGAGTCGGTGCTGCAGATGTTGCAGGCGGGCCAGCGGGTGGTGGACAACCCCATCTACCTGAGCGACATGGGCGCCGCGCTCACCGGAGCCGAGTCCCACGAGCTGCAGGATGTCCTGGAGGAGACCAACGTGAGGCTGCGTGGCACCGCGTGGCCCTGCTCTGTGTGCCGGCGTCCGCATGCCTGCATGTCAGTCTGTCCTCGTCTGTCTGCTTTGTCCCTCCCGGCACCTGCCCTGCGTTCCTAGGGGTGGTGGCTTTTGCTGTTGGTCGGAGCCCTCGGGTTGGGCGTGCATGGGCAGGGCGTCTGCACAGCCTCTCCCCTCGGCGCACGGCCCATGGGGGTCTGCCTGCATCTGTACACCAGCTCGGTGGTCTGCGGGAGGGGCGCCTGTCCCCTCGGCGAGGCGTGGCCAGCTGCCTGGTGACAGCCTCCCATCCTCCGCGGCAGATCCCCAAGCGGCTGTACAAGGCGCTGTCCCTCCTGAAGAAGGAATTCGAGCTCAGCAAGTTGCAGCAGCGCCTGGGCCGGGAGGTGAGCAGGGCCAGGCTGGGCAGGCAGGCAGGCCGGGCCGTGGGGGGGGCAGCCGTGGTACTCACACAGCCGCTGACCAGGCGTCCTGCAGGTTTGGGGGTCATCCCTGTTCTAGGACACAGAGCCCTTTGTGTTAAACGAGGGACTCAGAATGTCTCAGTGTGATGAGCCCAGACCTGGGCGGTCTCTGGACCGCCTGTCACGGGAGGGCAGCTTCTCCACCTCGCGGCCCCGGGTGCAGGGTGGGAAGCAGGACCAGCCCTGAGGGTTGGGAGCACCTCCCTGAGATACAGCCGTTCGAGGCCCACCTTCCTGATGTGGCACTCGGGGACCACCTGGGTGTGGGCTACTAGCAGGAGGGTTGCTTTTTTAAAACATATGCTGTGGGGCGTGGCATTCCCTGTGGGGATAGAGAGGAAGAGAGAAGTCTCCCCCAGTGGGGATGGCCACAACGCGGTCTCCTCTCCAGTCTCCTCTCAGGATTCTGGGCACGTGTGCACGTGCACCGGGGCGTTCTTCAAGCTGCTGGGTCCGGGACGTGAACCGTGTAGTTGGCCATGTGGGGCCCACTGCCTTTACCACCAGCCCACTGGTCCAGCAGCGGTGTCATTTTCCTTTTCTCTTGGTAGAGGTTTTTGCCTTAGTGTGTGCACCCGCAGGGCAGAGGGTGGAGTGAGAAATCACCCCCTCGGGCATGGCCACACTGCAGTCCCTTCTTCGTTCTCTTCCTGGGATCTTGGTCATGCATGCATATGCGCCTGGTGTGAGTTTCAAGTCACCAGGTTCGGACTAGAACTGCAGCCGGCCATGTGGGAGGCCAACGACATAACTGCTATGCCATTTGCTAGTCCTAGGAGTATATTTTTTAAAATTATTTTATTTAAATGTATTTGTTTATTTTTTAATTTGACCAGAGGGGGAAGAATAAGAGAGAGAGACAGAGAGGGAAAGTGAGAAAGCAAGCTGCCAGGCTCAGGACTCAAACCGCGGTTGGCCAAGTGGGAGTCCAGCGCCTTAACTATCATGCCACCTGCCGGCCCCAGAAGCATCATTTTTCAGATTGACTTTTCTCACTTAGTTTTTTTTTTTTTTTTTTTAGAGGTTTTTTCTATAGGGAGCGTGTGCTCCCCAGACAGGAAGCCAGAAAGCG